GCAAGTAAAACTCCAAAAACCGAGGAGTTGTACAGCAAAATAAACTTTAGATCTTGGCCAAATTTTTGGAGATCAGGGATTCTCTGGAGGGGGTGCTCTCAGACCTCAGCAAATTGTTCTATTGGTTTGAGCCATAAAGTTAGCTCACGCTAGTACCAAGAAATGATAGGAAATTTGTCAAAGCTCAGGGCATCTCCACTCAGAATCCCCCCGTGGTTACCAAAAGGAGAACTCAGAAAATCTGAAACAGGTTTCAGTTAATTTAGACAGTTTATTTTGCCAAGGTTGAGGACACACTCATGACAAAGCCCCAGAAACTCCTGACATGTGTACACCAAGGTGGTCAGGGCACAGCCAGGTTTAAACATTTTAGGGAGACATGAGACTTCAATCAATATACATTAAGAAGTACACAGGTTCAGTCTGGAAAAGCTGAACAACTTTAAGCAAAGGCAGCAAGAACGGAAGCAGGGAGGGAGCTCCAAGGTCATGGAAAAGTGATACACAAATAATTACATTATTTTGAGTTTCTGGTTAGCTTCTCCAAAGGAGGCAATCAGATATGCAACTATCTCAGTGACCAGAGGGGTGACTTTGAATAGAATGGGAGGTGGGTTGGCCCTAAGCAATTTCCAGCCTGAGTTTTCCTTAGTGATTTTGGAGGACCAAGATATTTTCCTTTCACGACAAAGAGTAAGCACATGTTTGAAAAGAACTACAAAAGTCACTCTGGGAAGTGACAGTCTGTCCAATACAGCGTTTGGGGAACAGGATATCCCTAGGAAAATAACAACATACAGTCTTTATTGTGTGAAATTCCCAATAATTCATTCAACATGAATGAAAGACCCATACCCAGAACTTGAACAAGTCACTCTCTAAGAAGAAAACGTACAGTGTGCAGATACCAGGGCCAACTTGGATCTATGCTTACGGTTTGCCAAGAGGAAAACAAAAAAATAAAGAGGACAGAAAAAAATACAAACAACCAACAACCCAAACTCACTGACAACAGATTGATATGCTAGTGAATTTCTTTTACTTCATCTGTCACCAACGTTAATGGAAAACCAGAACACTACACACACCTGAAACTGCATCTGACTATACGGCTTATGGGCAAGAAAGAACGAAAACAATGAATGAAAAGAAAGAAACATACAAAGGATGATAAGAAGTGTCTGGAGAAAAACATAGGTGATGAGGCATTTTTTTGAAAAGTTGTAAGTAACTAACGTTACTAACTAGCAAAAAACACCAGAAAAGAGAAATTAATTACCAAACCCAAACTTATAAACCAGAGGCTTTTCTGCAAAGAACACATAAAACTGAAAACAAGTATGCTTGTTAACACCTGGTTAACATCACTAATCACGGCAAAAATGAAAACCAGAACAAGACTCAGATACCGCGTCCCTCTTGGTGGAATGAGTATTACAAAGATCTTCACATATCTTAAAAGAAGGGAAATCACAAATGCTGCTTTAATTTCCAGAGAGGAGAGCTGTCCTATCCACAACTGTTGACAGGGTAAATTAGTATGTATGCTACAGAGGCCACTTGGAGGTTCCTCAGAAAACTAAAAACACACCTACCATTTCATTGAGCTGTGCTGCTATTGGAAACATATGAAATCAGTACAGGAAAGACATATCTGCCTTCCCATGCTGACTATGGCACCAGTCACAATAGCCAAGATAAGGAATCAACCTGCCTGTCCACCCGCAGAGGATGAGATCCAGAAACTGCAGTATCCAGTCACAACCAGATACTCTTCAGCCAGACATGGGTACTGATATCAGGTCATCTGTGGCAACATGATGTAACCTGGAGGACATTACGGTAAATGAAACACACTAGGCAGAGAAAGACAAACCTCACATCACCTCAATCATGAGGAATCTAAGAAACTCTCTCACACAAACCTACGAAGCACCATAGTGCTTGCCAGGGTTGGAACTGAAGGCTGGGCATAGGAAACAGGTACAAAGACACATTGCATAAGAGGAATGAAACTTGCCATTCTATTCCTCAGCAGGATAACTAGGGAAACCTTTACTAAACGGTAGTTTTCAAGACAACCAGAAAGGAAGGTTCTCGCTCTCCTCAAAGACATGAAAACTCTACAAGGCAAAAAACAATGCTAACTACCCTGATTTCATCACTATGTGATGTATACATGGACCCAAATGTCCCACTCTACCATCTAGTTGTACATCTTAAGGACAGGGCTAATTTTGGTTTTTGAAAGCAACGTAGAGAAACAATGTTAAAATTACCGTGGGACCACAAGAGGCCCTTAAACTCCAAAGCCAGGCTGGGAGATCCAAACTACATTGGATGGAACGCACTCTCCGATTTCAAATCTCATGGAAGAGCTAGAGACCCACTTCCGCCTACACAGAATACGGAACCCTGAAGTAACCTGACATACCTACAACCATTTGACCTTTGAAACACCAAAGGTCAGATGGACAAAAGGCTCACTATGCTGCAATGAAGGGCACTGGGGTAGGTGGCTAGCCACATGCAGATGAACAACACTGGAGGCTTAACTCTCATCAAATGCAAAAACTAATCCAAAGCGAAAGAAAGATTTCAGTAGAAGACCTCAAACTATAAAAGTCCTACAAGAAACCCTAGACATACCTTTCTTAATACGAGCTTTGAAAAGCATTTAGATAAAAAGCAACAGCAAGAAAAGCCACAATGGACAGTTGGGCATAAGAAACTGAAACACTGCCAGACAGCAAAATAAATCACAAGCATGGTAAATACACAGTCTACAGGATGGGAGAAAATATTCCCAAACTATGCTTCTGACCAAGATCTAATAAGCCAAACTTTAACATGACTTTAAAAAAACCAAGAGATAGAAAAACTAACCATTCAAATAATGAGTAGAGAATATAAACACACAGTTGTCAAAAGAAGATGTACAAGTGACTAACAGACAAGAAAAAAACCTCAACATCACTCATCATGAGAGAAATACAACTCACACACACACTGAGATACCATCTCATGTCGATCAGGATGACCATTTGTCCTAAGTCCAAGCATTAACATGCTGGCAAGGCAGAGGAGGAAAGCAAACACTGCTACACTCCTGGTGGGAATAAAAACTAGTTCTCACACTATGAGAAGTGGTTTGGCAACTCCTCAAAGAACTTAGAACAACCATCCAAATGAGCAATTGCATAACTGGGTATCTACACACAGAAAAATAAATCATAAATCCTTCTTTCAAAATGACACAGGCATGGGTAATCTCCTGGAAGTGCTATTCACATGTAAATATAAAATAAAATCGACCTATGTTCCCCTTAAGCTGATTCAATGTTTTAAAAGTGTTGTACATAAATGCCACAACATCTTACGCACTCAAAAAAAAAAAAAAAATTCATGCCCTTGGCAGCAACAAGGATGGAGCTGCAGGCAACTATGCTAAGTAAAACTAAGGCAAGAACAGAAAATCAAATTCCACATGGTCTCATGGGGAAAGTATCTATGGACAACACAATGACTTTGTGATCCCTTTTTTTTTCTCTCTGATGGGACACAGAAATTCCTGCTGACAAAAGCAAATATAAACCTGTGAGACAAACACTTTAGAGCTTCTGCATGGGGGAGAAAACAACGAACCCAAAGAGAAAGCATCTTACCTTGGCGGAAAGGATGATTGGGGTAAAATTAAGGAAAATCGTAATTTTGGAAGGGGTTGTTATCGAACATATTCAAGCACTATAGCTACTAAGTGGGGAAAAGGTTAACAAAATACACAAGCTAAAAATATGCAAAGGACCTGCACAACCTCTTCTGCACAGGACATGAAACTGATTCACAGGTGAAACTAAAGATTCTCCACATAACTAGTCACTCCAAACATGTAAGTCAGAATCACACTGATATCAGATACCATTAAACTCCACTGAGAATGAACATTACCAGAAAAAAGCAATAAAAACTTTGGAAGGTAAAAGCAAGTGTAGGCTTACAGAAAGGGAAACTCTTATACACTATTCATGCCAATGTAAATTAGTGTATATACTGTGAAAAAATGTTGGGATGTTCCTTACACTGTGTATATGCATTTAAAGGAAAGGAAACCAGTACCTTAAGGAGGTATCTGACTTCTCATGTTTCACGGAGCACTATTCACAATATAAAGATATGGAATCAACCTACCTGTCCATCTACAGATGAAGGGATGAAGAAACTGCAGTATATCTGCACAACGCAATACTCTTCATCCGTAACAAAGTAACATAATTTTCATTTGGAGCCACATGGATGAACCTGGAAAATATGTTACATAAAATAAGCTAGGCATAGAAAGATAAAGACAGATTCATCTCACTTATATCAAATCCAAAAAACTTTGCCTTCAATAAGTAGAAAGTACAGTAGTGGTTTTCCAAGCAGAGGGGAAGGAGAGGATGGAAATGGAAACAAAGTTGCAGTTAGTTGGGACAAATACATTCTTGTTTGTACTCTATACCACAGCTTGGTGTTTCTGTTTAACAAAATACTGTATTTTTCAAAAAACCTGGAAGGGAGCAATTTCAATGTTCTCACAAAAGAACAATAATACCTGTATGAAG